TTTGTTCCTCTCCTTCTTCGTGACGTTGCAATACAGGAAGCTGAAGCCCTACTGGGCTGAGGCTGTTTTAGGACTATGTCCTATTCAGTCCTCTTGTTGCTTGACAACACGAAGACCTGAAGCGATGCCTTAATTTTACTTACATAAAAGGAATGTTACCAATTTATCGAGGAGAAACTGCACCTGTCTTGCGCAAAACATACAAAACCATCTTTATTGTGTGAATTTATTACTTCCCAAAATGTGAAAGCATTCACGCCACAGTTGACGTATATATGAATAATAATAATTAAATTCAATGTGTTATACACATGCTATGGTATACATTTAAGAAATCAATTGAATTATATCTTTATAATGCAAAAAATCAAATATAGCTATTTATATCATTGTACACAATAACGTATTACAAGAGATTAATTACTCGACCAATCATGTAAAGTGTTCAAGAATGCGAATGTTTTGTCATTGTTCTATTATTTTTCAATCATTTCACGAAATTGGTTTTATTTTATGTCACTAGCATGTTGGTGAATTTCCCTACAGGATAGTAGCTATTGGCACGTTAAGACCTACACCCGAGACCGATTTACTTGTATTTTGATAAGCCCAGAGACCAAAAACACTATTCGTTCAAATGTTTATATTTTCCAAATTTTGTTTCTTTTCCAAATTGTTACCTTTAAAACATACAGTAGAAGTTCCAAATTTACAATACATACATCGTGTAGAGCTTAAAAAACAAATAATTTATAATAGTGTATTGAAGCGTTGTTGTACGATTAAAGATTACAAAGCAATTGATCTTAAGGAGAAAAAGTGGACTATTGTACTTTTTTATGGATAAATATTGATCAAATTTCGGAAATGTATGAATTTCATATTACAGTCTTTACTAAAGTACTTGTATCTTCCCCTGTAGCAGCAAACCTAAGTACTCTTCAAATCCAAGGTTATATAATCTAATGTTATATTTATTCGGGGAATAAATTTGATCTGTTTAGGAAATGCAAATGAAAATTCGGTAGTTTGTAGGTTTGCTGTGGCTTAAATATTTTGATATCAGAAACTAAAACGCTTTCATGTAAGTATTTTTAACGTCAACATGTAGTATGTTATTATTCATCAATATCCTAATGAAAAATTATGACTTTGCCAAATTAAACTCCAAAAATATTTTCTTTTACCACTCTTCTCTGCAGCAATTTAACCTATTTCCTAACTAACTGATCTTATTAATATTATTAGCAAATTACACTTGAAGTATATTTTTTTAAGACTATATCTATAAAAATATATATTCTTGCAATAAGGTCTGATTAAAATTTTTTGAGTATTTGCAACATCCTCATTTGACATCGTCTAAGTATTGAGGAACCTCACTTCCATTTGAAACATACTTGAATTACGTAGTATTCGAATTAGCGAGTATAGTTTTCATCATCTGTTTTATTTTTTAATATTACAGTACTCAAAACTAATTTATGATAATACTTATTACTCAAACGTAACAATTACGCGCCATTATTAGTCAGGTATTTTCCGTTAAATGTATAGTTGTGGCTGTACTTAAAAACTCAATTCTCAATAAAGGCATTGATTGCGTACAGGTGGTCTTTGGATATCGTTCAATCTTCGGTAAGAGAGATTGACAACACAACCGACAAACTATAATTACATTAATTATTTAATGGTAAGGTACCAGTACAGTATTTGATCGCTATCTTGCATCGTTCAAGCATAAATAGAATCGGTGATAAAGATTAACTTGTAGTGTATTTGCAACAAACTATGATTACAATCATTATTTGAGGGTAAGGTACCAGTACAGAATTTAACCACTATCTTGCATCGTCCAAGCTTAAATAGAATCGGTGATAAAGATTAACTTGTAGTGTGTTTGCAACAAACTATGATTACAATCATTATTTGAGGGTAAGGTATACCAGTACAGAATTTAACCACTATCTTGCATCGTCCAAGCTTAAATAGAATCGGTGATAAAGATTAACTTGTAGTGTGTTTGCAACAAACTATGATTACAATCATTATTTGAGGGTAAGGTATACCAGTACAGAATTTAACCACTATCTTGTATCGTCCAAGCTTAAATAGAATCGGTGATAAAGATTAACTTGTAGTGTGTTTGCAACAAACTATGATTACAATCATTATTTGAGGGTAAGGTATACCAGTACAGTATTTAACCACTATCTTGCATCGTCCAAGCTTAAATAGAATCGGTGATAAAGATTAACTTGTAGTGTGTTTGCAACAAACTATGATTACAATCATTATTTGAGGGTAAGGTATACCAGTACAGTATTTAACCACTATCTTGCATCGTCCAAGCTTAAATAGAATCGGTGATAAAGATTAACTTGTAGTGTGTTTGCAACAAACTATGATTACAATCATTATTTGAGGGTAAGGTATACCAGTACAGTATTTAACCACTATCTTGCATCGTCCAAGCTTAAATAGAATCGGTGATAAAGATTAACTTGTAGTGTATTTGCAACAAACTATGATTACAATCATTATTTGAGGGTAAGGTATACCAGTACAGAATTTAACCACTATCTTGCATCGTCCAAGCTTAAATAGAATCGGTGATAAAGATTAACTTGTAGTGTATTTGCAACAAACTATGATTACAATCATTATTTGAGGGTAAGGTATACCAGTACAGAATTTAACCACTATCTTGCATCGTTCAAGCTTAAATAGAATCGGTGATAAAGATTAACTTGTAGTGTATTTGCAACAAACTATGATTACAATCATTATTTGAGGGTAAGGTATACCAGTACAGAATTTAACCACTATCTTGCATCGTTCAAGCTTAAATAGAATCGGTGATAAAGATTAACTTGTAGTGTATTTGCAAACATTCTCGAGAGTTGTAAAACTTATATGAGTTAAGAATTGAAAATATCCAAAATGTTATTATTGTATAGTCAAACAAACAAATAAAGATAACAAATATTAAAATACGAAATTTTGATGGAACAATCGTTTTAAAACTATGAATCTAGTCATAAAAATAATATTTACACGAAAGTTTGGAAATATTTTCAAACTATTTATGTATTATAAGTTTTTCTTGATTTCTAGTGACATGAGATCTTCAACAGGAACACAATTTTCTGGCGTTTCTATTTTCTTTCTGGATCGAAACTCTTCCGGACTAGTGAAAGACAAATGTATTATCCGACCGTACAAACAGTCCTCTAATCAACCCCTCTACGTCCAAACTGTTTCTGAACACAAAGTCAGGTTTGTTTATTTACTTGCATTCAACTAACCAAACCTCAATGTTTAAATTGCATTACTACTTTTTACATATTATTAATTTCTTGTAACATATTTATTATGTCATATTTAAATTAATATTCTGTATAAAATTGTGGATATTACAGTGCATTTTGTAAGAAACTTTACTAATTGTCCTACTTTTACACAATGCACTATTTCCTAAGAAGTATTGACTGGTGAAATAGAAAAATACTGCAATCTCATATTATCAATTCTAAAATGATTCACTCACATTTGTTGTTAGTGATTTATTCTGAACTGGTTGTGTTTATGAGTAAAATTTTTTTCACTAGAGTTAGGGATATGTATAATTTTTTTTAACAATGAGTCAACAACTATGTAACTGCCAATTGTTAAAAAATTGTTTATGTTATAACGTTATTATGTTATCGAACCAAAGACGTCCGTTTGTATGTGGTTACATTATAAAAAAAAATGGATTCGTTGCACCAATATTAAATGTATTTAATTGTTTTCGTAAATTGTATTACGAATTTATAGGATAAAGCAAATGTTAACTTTGTTTCAGTAATACGGAAATTATTTAAATAAAAAGTAATTAAGATTTAAAACATTTATTTTATGACCTTATATGTATATATACATATGTACACCAATTAAACAAAATACACTTAGCTGGATTATTGAAAACATTTCTGGGGATTTTCAAACGGCAAACACTATATTTTAAAGACTGCCAATTTTTGATACTTTAGTTGTTCATGCTTTGAGGAGGCATACGTTATGAATCAATTATAATTTAAATTTATTAACATTAAAAATATGTTCTAAAATTCACAGGAAATACGTAAAATTATAATAATGTAATGATAGTATAAATTGATAGCAACTTTTTAAAATACAAAATTTAAAACTACGTATGAGGTTCTCAATGATAATTTTATGAAGAACCACCATCCAAAGTGGATGACAAACTTTAAATTGTTTTAAACATCAAGTTAAAATAATAGCAACCACCAAAGCCACTGAAATAAAATGAATTCATGAATGAAAGAGAAGAAGCGATTCACTATGACTACGGTGAGCGTACTACTCGTTACCTAGAAATACGGGGACTCTTTTCCTTGATATTTTATATAAACACGTTATGTTTATAAGGAGATGCAACACAAATTTTCGACTGTATTATTTATTTGTTTCACCAGTGAGATACTGTAGTACGCTTACATAACTGTTCAGGCTTTCTTATTAACTTTTGATCGAGGAAAAAATTGCAATGTAAATGAATTTTACAACACATTATATCTACTATATACTACTTAAAACACTACTCACTGGTATAATTTTAGAAATTTTATATTTTACTAATACAATACTTAGATTATCAACCACAAAAATATTATAGTGCACTTTTTCTTGAGTTAAATTGTTGTTATAGTTTACCTTCATATGAGTAATTATATTATACAGTTTACAACAAACACAAATGAGACTTATACAGTAAAATTAATATTAGATCAAATATTTACTACACATACATTAAAATGTGTAATATTAAAAAATTACTTTTTTTTACTGTTTTCTAAAGGATTAAAAAAAGTTTTAAGTGTAAAGTGCAATAAATGACAACAGTAATGTGGTGTAAGTGAGCGGTAGTGCAGACTAGATGTCCACCGCTATGAGATAGTTCTCTGTGATGTGAGAGAGTACTCACTACTCACCGCCTGGCCTCACTGCTCACTGCGCCTCGTCTCGTGGGTCGTCGTCGACTGCCACTGCTGCTGTGCTGCTGCCTGCTGATGAGTCTACTGCTGACTCTCTCTCTCTGTTCTCAGCGCATACTCTGCCACAGCCTCCCTCTCTCACCCTTTCACCCCCTATATCGACCTCTCCTCCCACCGTCTTTCCCTCGCTTCCCTTTGCACTCCTCTTTATCCTTTTTATTCCCTAGTTTCAATTACTTCGCCTGAATGGCGTATGCTGGGTCAATAATATTTGGACCCCGTGTTCCGGGCCCATTCATACTCTAGGTCGATATCCGCCATTCATTCAGTCCTCCCCGACTCTTGTTCAGTTCCTGTTGGAGTACTGTCGTAAGAAGGAAATCTCTGTCTCCTACTTCCTTGTTATAAGGCACGCGTTAAGAGGTCTTTGTTTGGATTTCAAATTAATAGTCACAGAATTCTTGTAAACAAACAGACCTCAATATTAAAGTAGGTAAATTTGACTGTTATTTACAATTTAAATGCGATATTGGAGTCATTTAACGTCCTTATGGTAATGTTGATTAAATCCCAGTAAATACGAAATACAGATGTGGAGTAAAAAAAGCTAATACTAATTTAACAGGGATATATAATAAATCTAAGTAACAACAATATATATTTATTCTATGAACTCGGCTGATAAATTACCATATAACAAATACATGCAGTGGAATTTGAAACTAATACTTACATTAAAATACATATTTTAAATAAATTTACGAGGTGGTCGGGCTCATGGGTAAACTATTTGTGTCACACCAACAGACCTGCCGCTTCACAGCACACGGTTTACTTATAAAATCTACACTAGAACAGGTGCGATAGAGACACAAATCCCACAAAGAACCTGGAAGTAAGTGTCTACATCTACAACAAGAATATCAATCTCATAATCGATTGTGAGTTACCGTACGTAAGTATCTAGATATTCGTAAAAGTCATGTGTAAAATAAAAACAAACTATTGTATTTTCATTTGAACCAGGAATATCACTTTAACAGTAATAATTAACTTGGTTTCTTAAAAAACCTATGTTGATAACATTGATGGAAACTGAGTAAACAGAATTTCTTCCAATTTAGGTATTTTATCAGCTTTTGCTCTGTTATACTACAATACTTTTAGAGTGTCCAACCGTCCGGGAAATAGGGGAAAACAGGTAGTGTACGTGAATATTAATTACTGAACAACCTTATGATTGTTCTTGATATTGACTATCCAACTGTTCGGATTAACAGAAATTGCGTAACAAAATAAAACAATGCATATACAGAGAACTGTAAATGACATACATTGCTTCCCCAATCACGACAACACCGTGATAGTTTTAGGTGATATCCGTCATCATCTCCCGCGGTCGCGTTCTTCTCACTGACGACTCTAAAAGATACAAATTTATCTATACAAATTCATCTTCAAAGGTCTCTTGTTAAGTAACTACAACATAAACAACCCTAGCGCATATCTGTGTAGTTTATGCAACTTCTGTAACATAATAAAAAACATATTTCCTAAACAGAATAAAATGTTTTAATTGTTAAATTTTGATTTCATCCTGACAAAGTTTAACCTCTACAACTAAGTTTCTTTAGCATCTCTTGGATTAACTCTTGTATACTGACGAAAAGCTGTTAAATAAAGTATTTAATCTAATGAGTATTGTATAATTATTTTTGCAACACAAAACTATAAATTATAGTTTGGAAATATTTTGCAAAGAAACTATGCTGGTAAGTATATATTGTAGATGAAAACAACAAAAAGACATGGGACAAAATTTGGATTGTCGTCAGAAAAAAAATCCATCTTTAGATCTCTTAACAATCGGAAGTAAACAATCTCTAAAAATAGGAAGTAAAAATTGGATTCACAATATTAGACAACAAATATTGATCTACTTCCAAGTCACAGAACAACTCAGACCGACACAGTTTCTAAACTACACAAAAGATAATCTCTAATTGTCTTAACTACGTCACCCTACTTTTACAAGTCGCAGCTCTGCAGCTTTGGTGAATAAACCCTATGGTTTTGTTATTTTTTAAATTTAAAATTCTTACGATCGAAATACGACCTTCGAAACAGACTTAGAATGAAAGAGGCTAAAACATTTTACTTGGAATTATTCTTCCATTTATTAAAACACACATTTCCTGCTATTCTCAATGTATCCGTCAAAGTGGCTGCCCCTCCCTCTCCCGCCAAAACCCTACGCTCCACCCACCAAATTCACACTGCCTTTTCACAATCGGGTGACGTTAAAGTAAAAGATTATTGCTATCAATCGTCTGTTTCCCTTCCAAAATTGTTTAGCTTTGAACGCTGAAAATGCAGATTGAGATTGCAAAAGTGTTCCACAATGCTTTGTGATTACTCGAGCGAATTCGTAGCAACACGTATTTATAGAAAATACTAACTTTACTAAAAATTATGAAAAGTGATTGTGAGCTAAGTGAAAACCACAAAGATATTACTATATTTAAAAATGTTACTTTCGTATATGTTGAACCAAGTTTTGAATGGCTATTCAAAATATACGAAAAGCCTATTTGGCTGAATTGAGTTTTCTTAAGACTCTTCCTAAATTATTATACAAATATTTTTTCACCACTTTGTTTACTATTGTTTCGGAACTTTTGAGATGTGTGTTTGATGAAAACATTTTTAACTAGAACTAGATTTATATGGTTTAAAGTAATCTAACGATTTCTTTAATACTTAGGAAATAGGGAATTATTTGTATTTAATCACACGATCTATTTTATTATAATAGTATTATATTTTTAGTTAGTATTTTATCTGAGTTACTCTGTAAAACAGTTATATTGTACTGAGAGACGCAGAGAGAGAAATAAAGGCATTTTTATTTATTTATTATTTTTCTAATTGAAATGTTCTCCTTTAAGTATCCGCGGTTCGTCAATAACCATGTAAGTCTTGCTGAAATTTTAGCTGCGTAATGATATAACAAAGTTTTGTATTTAAATCAATGCTAAAAAGTCTTCCTTCGCTCCGCTAAATAAAAACTAAAAAATATGCGTTTTCAGGTTATCAATCAACTAATGATGCCATCTTACAATATATTGGGCAAAGATTTTGGTACAAAATGTTGATTTTAGGTAGTAAACCGTCCAGGGCTTGTACCGTAAACTAACAAAAACCTTAAACAACGCAAACTACATTGCATAACACACACAAACATATGAATTAGAATAGTCAAAAATACGTTAGATATAGGCCGATGGTTTTCAAATGAGAATTTCAAAACCTCCAAAATGGAAGTAACTTGATTCTGGTAAACAACAGATACTAATTGCATTGCCTATAATTGAGTATGATCATCCAATTACATACAAGCTTGTGACCTAAACTGAGCAGCTAATTTGATTATATATAAAATTTTCACCTCAAAATTTCGAGCATCCGTTACAATATTTTAAAACTAGAATTAGCCTCCATTAAATATAGTATTTATTTGGTTTTTGTTTTTAATATAATATTTTATTGATTAATTTGTTTACCAGCTGTAGTTGAAAAAATGCATTCTTATAAGATTGTGTTGCATTTCTAATATGGAAATCCCCCAAAATAATTTCTTAAAAAACTATTTGAGTTATAATTTGTGTTTACCTTCATCAGTACAGTTTAAATATGAGAGAATCCCTGACGTTATGGAAAGCTGTTTAAATCCTTTTTTGTTTGTGCAGTGGAGCTTGAACTGGTCACTAATGCTTATAATTGTATAAAATAATTCATGTAAAATGGTTTTCTCATTTGAAAGTTTTCTCCTCTGCTGTATTAAATAAGGGCCAGTATTACAAAACTTTTAAACATAACTGAAATATTATGCACATCAAATCGTACGATCGTCAACCCATTTTCTACATTTCTAATTAGGTTTGAATTAGGCTATTGAGTGTATAGTCAATAATATACTAGTTTTACGTAATAAATATTTAATTTATATTCAATTATCGTGTCGTCTCAATATTTTCAATGATTATATTGAGGATAATCAAGATTTCGAAACAAAATAATGCACGTCTGCTAGAATGTAAAGTAAACCTGTCTTCTCTGCTATGATAATTTACCAAATATAAATATACGAAATTAAATATTTAATTGTGTGTTCATAAGGAAATCTTAAATGTTTGATTGTTGCCAATGAAATCTTTAAAATACTCAAAAATGCATTTTTAAAACTATCACTGATTAAACACGGATTGTAAAATTGCTTTCTGAGAAGTATGTTTTCGATTCTACATTCATCAAAAACAAAAAAGTCGTTGCAATGAACTAAGAGACAGTGAAATAGAAACGTATTACCATTCAGCCGGTGAGTCAGCGATTGATCAGCATGTACTGCGACATTACGTCAGCAAACTGGCTAGGGGTCATCAGCTTCTTAAAACAACTGCTAACATACAAAACTATTACTATAGGATCTAAACTGGTGTACGTTAAAGATTATGATTATATGGAGCTTGATCCATGTCACACAGCAGGTAATTTACTGGCAACATATATAAATGTACTTATTTCATTGCAGCCATTTCTATTGGGTACGATTGGTAGAAACCAGGTTCCCAAGTCGTTTCGGGATCTGATCTCAGGTAATAAAGTACCTAAAACACAAGAAAAATGTATAAATCTAGAATAGGCTGGAAATCATGAATAAAAACTACACTCAGAATTGTTAAGCTGGGTTTTCCTAGACGCGGAGTCGGCCAGCGGAGAGCGGACAACGGAGAGCGGAATTGAAATTAACATGGCATTCCGCTCCGCTGCTAGGAAAACAGTAACATTAAATTGCCTAAGACAAGCTGAGTCCGCTCTCCGTTGTCCGCTCTCCGCTGGCCGACTCCGCGTCTAGGAAAACCCAGCTTTAGGTAAATAAAAGGGGGTTTTCACTTGTTTTACTTATAGTGAAGGAAAATGTCGGAATTAATCTAAGAAAAATCAGTGATGTAGTGTAGTGGGAATTCGTGGAAGTTGCGTTCTCATTCTACTTTCTCCAAATAGCCTATATGTTAATAGGCAGCTCGCATTTATTCTACAACAATAATTAGCGTTCCTGC